TTCTACCCCCATTAAGTGAAAAAGAACCATGGATACACCCTTTCTTCACATAATAACACTCTAATAAAAAAAACCCCCAAAACCAGTGATTGAGTTTGACCCCATCTTTGCTGGAGGAACACAACAAATGGGCCCTTCTTTCTTCAGATCTGTTAAAGATCTCTCGGTAATTAACATAGTAAGTTTATAAATTTTTGCAATTTTCATAAGCAAATTGTTTTGTATCCGAATCATTAAGTTTTTCCATCTTTGAGCATAGATAAGTCTTGATGCCATAGTCATCTATGGCAATAACCATCCACATATTCTATTGAGTTGATCATCTAACATCCCAAGCAGATAGAGTTCAAATTTAACTTTAACATGTTCTTCTAAAATCATATGTATTTGTGCCCAGCATTTCTGGGTCCCTTTACACAACCACCACATACGATAAAAGCTGTCAACTCCTCACATTTACATTTGCTAGAACTATTTTTATGCATCATAGCAATCCTTTCCAGTGTCAGATATCTGTACATCATCTTATAGAAATTTTCTTTCCAGTTATTACTCAATGGAAATTTCAAACTCTTTGTCCAGACCATTCCATTTTTCCATTTCTATCTGTTTACCAAAATTTTGTGCCCACTTGACCATACATTCTTTCACCTGTTCCTCCTCCATTTCAAATTTTAACAATTTATACAGCTTAGCAATTATGTGGTCATCTCCAGAGTCTAGAACAAGTTCAGGTTTATCAATTACAAATCGATATCATTTTTATCCATTTGAAACCATTCTAAAATGTCAGACAATTTTAGAACATCTGTATTCTTAAATTAAAATACTTTAAAATAAAATATGTTTTGGAAGTAACCTCTAAAATTATAAAAATCAGTGATTTTTGCCCTTTTAAATATTTAGTGGTAGGTAAACCAGTGGATAACTCCCTAACTGCATATTCTGAATATAATGCCTGAATTAACTTGATGGCATAGACATATTCCTTTCCTTTCTAGATTACAGCAAAGTGTTAAAAATAAATTATGTGAGTTTATACATCTGAAATTGGCATATAAGCTTTTGAGTAAATTAATAATTTTAGTTCATTTTTTCAGTTGTGCTTTATATACATTGGTTGATATCATCCATAAACGTTACAGTTTATTAAACTGGTCATAATCCATGTGGCAACTCCAGTTCCACCCCAATATTCGTACCATATAAGTTTATTGTACTTTAAGTAAGGCAGTTATATTGCTAGTTATAGACTGCTTCTTTGAAAATTACTTTCCTTTCATTGGTTACAAGCAGAAGTTTGGCAGGGAGCATAACTTTATGGCATGCAGTGATGCTATTCCGTTACTCATATTCACTCAGGAAGTAAACATAAATACCTAGACTAATTTTGTCTCACTTGGAAATATGAGAATAGGATGACGATTTCATAGAGCAAAATTTGTATTTTTGAAATATTAGGAAATATTATCTAGATTCTTTTCCTGCAAGAAAGTTATATAAACAGATTGGCACTAGGTAGTAAAAATGTTTGTTCTTATTTTGCTGTGGCCAGGCATTGCCAAATATTCCACGAGGCCATGAATGTCACTATGTAAGCCTTTGCTTCCTGCTATTTTTTTTAAATGAAAGGGCAGGAGTAAAAGCTGCTAGGTCCCCTGCCCTGCAGTTGTCAGGGAGTCAAATCAGTAAGCAAGACCAAGCATTGACTGTTAGCCTTCTGTAACTGCAGGCACACAACCACTGCTTGGGACACTCATGACTCATTTTACTTCCTACTAGAACCTGGGAATACACCATCCATTTGCTGTGCGGTTCTTGTCTTCTCTGTAAAGGTCTTGTGAAGGACTGGTCTTTGGTATAGATTTTTAAAAAACCTTTACAATGTGATCCAGTGCAGTTCTAATCATGTGAGTGTGTTTAGCAACATAAAGATAAATCATAAGTAATTATTTACCATAACTCTGTGCACAAGAACTGTCTTACTGGTTGTCTGAAAGCCGCTCTATGAGAATTTTTGCTGAGGAAAATGTTTGAATGTTTTAAATGTTTTAAGCTCAGTAAGTGTTTTTAATGGCCAAATTATCAAATATATTGATGTTGAATTATCATGTTCATTAAGATATCCTTATCATTAACTTTTTAATAAAGTTTATAGTTTTAATCAGGTATAGATTGACAGGATTTTGGATACTGAAATGTCCAGCTCTTTAAAAAAATCTTAAAACTGTTTTGCTATCTGAAATTTTTACTGAGGTAATCATATCTCTATCCACTAAGTTCTTTTGAAGAGAGACAGGCAACACCCTACACCCAGTTATTACTGGTGTATCCATAAACATGCTAGCCAATGAATGATTGATACATTGACATTAATTATTAATTATTTATTGGTACATTAATTATTGGTATATTAACTTTTAGGAACGGTGGTTGGTTGTTCCATTCAGTTGATTTGGAGAAAATGAAATCTACAATGTTAAAGATATTTACACTTTTAAATTAGTATTGTTTACTTCAAGACCTGCCCTTTTGTTTTTTGGTTCCTCATGATGCTTTGGTCAGGAAAAATTTTAACAATTTCTAATATCAGCAAATGTTTTGGGTCTGTTCAGTATATATGATCTCCACTTTACAACAAATAAATGTAGAAAGGGTAAATTATGGAAATGGTGGGATTATTTCAGGCTTGATCTGGTTTTTTTCTTCTTCTTCAGAGAATTCTTGAAAGAATAGAAACACATATCACATTCCAAAATGTTGCGTATTGATTACTCCTTCTCTGGAAACCTGTGGACTAAAATTATTTTGGATTTTGGAATACCTGTGTTTGGAAATAGGACCCTTACCCAAGTTGAAACACAAAAATCATTTATGTTTCATATACATCTTAAAACTTTGCTTCTGGTGACAGCCAATTCCCTCACACCAGAAGTGACTTGCAGTTTCTCAAGTCGCTCCTGCCATGAAAAAGGAAATCTTAAAACTTAGCCCGAAAATAATTTTATACACTGTCTTCTCAATAATTTTGTATGTGAAACAAAGTATGTGAACATAGAACTATTAGAAAGCAAAGGTGTCACTGTCTCAGCCACTGATGTGGATTTTAGAGAATTGTAGGTTAGGAGTGCTCAACTTGTAGTCATATTTCCATTATCAAGCTGGAGGCTGGGCTGTATTGGAGCAGTGTCTCCACGCTCAGTAGGAGTAACACCTTGCTTAGATTCTGAAGTACCCAACCTCCAAGTACTGCCTCAAGGACAGAGAAAAGCATTGATCACTGTAGTTTGTAGCTGGGTTGTTGTGCAGCTGTTTTCTGCTCCCAGGATAGTGAGAGTGAGAGGAAGGATGCAAATGAGTAACAAAATGTAATTGCACAAATAGAAAAGTGAGAGCCTATTGTTTAGAACAGATTCTTGAAACATGACAATTCCCAGATGTGTTGAAGTAGCTACACTTAAATGATGGGATTTTAAATTGATGTGAGAATGAGTTTCCAAATTAAGATAAGTCAATTTTAAAAGGAGGGAAAAGGGGACTTTTGAGGCTGCCAATAATGAAATTTACTTCCAGGATCAATTATGACATCCTCCATGCCATTCTCTGTAAATCCCATGGCCCTACTTGGAAATTCAACAAGCCTATTTGATTATTTATCCAATTAAGCCAATGCTGTTATTAACAGAGGAACCAGTGAATTATTCTTCAATTTCTTAACATTATTGAACACATTCAAATCCAAAGCCGTATTGTTGGTTATATATTGCACAATGAATAATGAAATAAACCACTTTCAGACTGCAGCTTTTTCTCTTTTAGTGACTATTTATTATGCTGTTATTTTCAGGGATTGGCAGATTCTATTTTGCCTTGGAAGTTGGTCATTATTTATCATTGCTGTGTATCCAAATCAGTGACCGTCAGTTCCTTTGCACTAATTTAGTTTTTCTAATGCCCTCAAGGCAGGCAGCATATTATGTGAATAATTCTTTTCTACCCATGAATCGCAAAAGGTTCAGGAGAGAGAAACATGATTCTTTGTGCCCTTTAGTCAGAAGCAGTGAAATGAAGTTTTGTTATTTCAGTACCTCTATACTCCAATGGGGGAAAAACATTGGAGATATTTTATTCTCTGGAACTTTGTGAGAAGGCCCTTGTTATTCAGTTGTCTCATGCTATGTTTTTTGAGACAGTAAGCCACAAGTGTAAAACTCAAGGTCTGTGAGTTGAATCCAGCCTGCCATGTCATTTCATGTGGCCTTCCAGATGCTGGAAGACAACCCCTGTATTCCTCATCATTAGACATCGTGATTATAGTTAGTGGGAGTTTTGATACAGCCACTTCTGGAAGGCTGCAGTTGGTTCTGTTTAGTAAGGAGAGTGGAGTTTGAATTTAGAAACAAGGCTTGTGAATATGATGTCTGACTTTTAAATTCCCTTCCCCAACCTCAGAGCCACAAGGACTGTTGGGTTGCAATTTCCATTAACTCTAGCCCACAGGACATATAATCGAAAGTGATGGGAGTTCTCATTCTATAACATTTAGGTACCCAAATTGGTTAAAAACTAAAGAGCACTGACAATTTTGTAAAAAAAGAATCTATAGTTGGTCTTCTGAATTTATGAATTCTCTTTCCACAGATTCCACGCCCTTTGAAGGCAACCATAACACTGACGCACTTGATAAAAATGAGTTTGACGCCCTTGCAGTAAACCTAGCAATTTCCTAGCATAGCATGAAACAAAAACATGGATTTATTGTCCCAAAACCTCTTTGCCCTTGTGTGGATACAGGGAACAGGAGACAGTCCTTATCCAAATAGGATTCTTGAAGCAGAAGCCCTTGAGGTGGTCTGTTGAACCTCTTATATTCATGGGGTTTCTCTGTCAGAGCCTGGCAGCAATGTATATAATTTTGTTTTCTATTTAACCAACCTTTTTTAAAATGTAAAGAAAGGATTTAGTCAAAGATATCACAAAACCCTTTTGTTTTTCTGTAGAAATTGTTGAATTCATCATTGGGGAACAAAATAAACAATGGATGGTCCTATCAGGGTCCAAAGCTGTCAGAGGAAGGCTAGAGTACCAGTGAAAAAGGTAAACAATTCTTCTTTTAAAAAGCAGTCTCAGTTATCTTACTGTTTTGACTTAACCCTTTGTTCTACTTTATCATTAGTAGATAAGGCTTTTAAAAATCAAGCACAATTATTTTAGATGATTTGTTTGATGGGCAACTGTATTAGGTTTGATGGCTCACAGGTTCTGCAGCTCTAGTCCTCAAAGACATTTGAGTTTCTGACAGTTTTTTTAATTTGAGAATTGAGAAGTTCTGCAATAGAAATGGTGGTGACAGCAGATGGAAACAATTAAAAAAGAGTAGTATCTGAAGAATTTTGGATCTGCTACCCATTGGGAATTGGAATTGGATTTGTAACCCTAAATGCTATTCAATCATTCTTGTAATAAAATTTACCATTGAATCTGCTAGGGCAGTGGTTCTCAACTTGTGGGTCCCCACGTGTTTTGGCCTACAACTCCCAGAAATCCCAGTCAGTTTACCAGCTGTTAGGATTTCTGGGAGTTGAAGGCCAAAAACATCTGGGAACCCCAGATTGAGAACCACTGTGCTAGGGGATAAGCAGTGGGGATTACATGTATCATTGTAGAGAAGAAAGATACTTCTGTTTTACACAGAAATTTATTTTTGCTGATTTTTCCTTAAGTTTTCTATCATACTGAAAGTTTTTTCTATATCGATGGCTGTTTAAATTAACATACAAAATTAGTGGGGTTTTGTTCTTGTTTTAGGAGCAATTACAATAAAGTTTATGCATTGTATTTCCACACATCTGAACTACTTGTATTGTATTCCTAGACAGACTTTTACATAAACATGGTTACCTTCTCCATCTTTCAGTTGCCAGGAACTGGTCTAATAACAATAATTATCAAGATTCTGAAGTTAAATATTGACTGAAATCTGTAAATGGATTTGACAAAATTAATGCTGATACTGTATTTCTTTGATTCTAAGATGCACACTAAACATAAGATGCACCCACAATTCTAAGTTTTTAGAGATTCATATGGGGAAAAGTATGTCTTAGAATCAAAGAAATACAGTAGTTACTTCCTACTTGGTTGTTCAGCAGCTTTGTATTGCACAAGATCTTTTTAGCTGTAAGTGGGAATCAACTTGTGGTAACCTTGATAAAGTTTTGCAAACTCAGACCGATGTTCTCCTTGATTAAACCAACCCATTTGTTATAGATGCTTCTTCTTTTCCTATTGCCTTTTAACTTGGTGATCATTTTCCTTGTTTCCAGTAGTTCATATTATGCTCAAAGTATGATTATCAGAATTTGATAATTTAAGGAAGGATCAATCCTGATTTGCCCTGGGACACATTCATTTTTGTTTTGAGGCTTGTTTGTTTATTTTTGGTAGCCCATGCATGGTGTTCATGGAACTAAACTCCAGCACCACATTTAAAATGAGTTTATTGTCTTCCTATCAGCTTTTTCCCATTATCCAGCTTTCACAACCATATGCAGTTGGCCCACTATATTCATGGATTATTTATCCACATATTCAACTATCCACATCTTGAAAATATTTTTATTCCAAAAAGTAATCTTTGATTACTGCAGATGCAGACTGTGGCCAGGAAATCAGAAGACGCTTACTTCTTGGGAGGAGAGCAATGTCCAGTCTCGATAAAATAGTAATAGAGACATCAGACTGGCAACAAAGATCCGCCTAGTCAAAGCCATGGTATTCCCTGTAGTAACCTACGGATGTGAGAGCTGGGCCTTAGGGAAGGCTGAGCGAAGGAAGATCGATGCTTTTGAGCTGTGGTGTTGGAGGAAAGTGCTGAGAGTGCCTTGGACTGCGAGAAGATCCAACCAGTCCATCCTCCAGGAAATAAAGCCCGGCTGCTCACTGGAGGGAAGGATACTAGAGACAAAGTTGAAGTACTTTGGCCACATCATGAGGAGACAGGAAAGCCTAGAGAAGACAATTATGCTGGGGAAAGTGGAAGGCAAAAGGAAGAGGGTCGACCAAGGGCAAGATGGATGGATGGCATCCTTGAAGTGACTGGACTGACCTTGAAGGAGCTGGGGGTGGTGACAGCCGACAGGGAGCTCTGGCGTGGGCTGGTCCATGAGGTCACGAAGAGTCGGAAACGACTGAACGAATGAACAACAACAAAATCTTTGATTTTGCCACTTAATATAAGAGACAACATCTTACTACACCATTGTATGAAATGGGACTTGAGCATCTATGGATCTTGGTATCCATAGTGGGTCCTGAAACCTAACCCCAGCAACCCATTGTGTACTAGAAATCAGAAATACTATCACACTGATGATTATGACTAGCTTACTTAATATATCTTTACTCTTGAGAATCTTATCTTTTTCTTTCAGCGTTTCCTTTCCAAGCCATAGATGCATTCTTATTTGATTTCTTTAATCTTATCACATCAATAAAGTATTGGAAAATATTTGTGGTCATTATTTTTTGTTTGTATAAAGCTGAAAAATAGAGAACATACTATTTTGTGAATGGCATCAGCCGAACCTGCTTATGCCATGAAAAATGTGTCTCAGTTACCTACTTTATAGTCCAACAGAATTAAGCAGTAAGCTCTTTTAATATTGTAACACTTCAGATGGCAGGTGTAGAATTCACTTTTTAGAATGTTCCAAGTAAAATAATCTACACATGGAGAGACCCTGTATCTGAAAGTATTCCAATATGCAACTTCTTAGCCAGAATGTGATAATGCAGCTCAATAAAAGCTTTTGCAATTAATTTGTCTACTTTTCATCAGAGTGAGTGTTTGAAGTGTAAACCAAAACATGTTTGCTTTAGTATCTCACAGTATTCAAGCCAGAGAAAAAGAAGTTTGAATCTTTGCTCTTTTTGCAATAATTGGAAGTATCATGGGCAAAGCTACTGTGACTAGCCCTTCATCTCAAATACTTCAAAAGATACCTTCTGTTAAAAAATAACTTCTGGCAAGTCCTCCTGTCCAGCATCTGTGTTTTTCCTACATTGCAATTTGATACTGCAGTTTTATAAGCAGTGGGGATTACATTTAGGATTACGTGTTTCCTTGTATCCAGTCCTCCCCCTCATATGTACACATTTCAAACAGTGTTACACTTAGCTGACTGTAATGCCAGTTAGGCAAACTCTCTCTGAACAAACATTGCCAAAAACCCTATAGTAGGTTTTCTGTAGTGTCATCATAAGTTGGAAAAAACTTGAAGGCACACAAGAACAACTATCTCAGTTAGTGACCCACAACTTGCTTCTATTCTTTGAATCCCAGTTAATGACCAACTTCTGTTGTGTTTATGTAAGTTGTAATCATCATACTTTGGAAAAATATGAGCCCAGTAAGAATTTAAGTGTATTGTGGAGTATAAAATGCCTCATATTTAAAGGACTGATGTTTGTCCACCCAAACATAAAAAACAGAAAATGCAAAATGTTATCAAAGTAAAATAAAAGCATAGAACAAAAAGGCACACCTATTGTTGATTTTTCTCTGATGGTACTAACTTCCTGAAAACCAGAACACACCACTTCTTTGCTGCATCAAAAATGGCATGGCGTTTTAAATATCAATATATTATATTAGTTGGAAAAAGTCTTACTGGGGAGATAATCATTTTGTGCGATTTTTTGCTCCAGCTTTTTTTTTTGTTCCTTTTCTTTATAGGCAAGTGGATACCAGTATATCTAATCTCAGGGAGATAGTTAATATGCTGTAGATTTTATTTTGATTACTGTGATGTTGATAGGGTTCAACACCTTGTATATCTCCTCAAAATTCAGACTAAAACCAAACAGATGAACTGCTCTACTAACATTGAAGTTCCCAGGTCCCACTGCAATATATGGCAAATGCAACTTAGGACGCATCTACACTGTAGAATTAGTGCAGTTTGATATTAATTTAACTGCCCATATTTCAATGGTATAGAATCCTGGGAGTTATATTTTGGTGGAGCACCAGCATTGTTGTTTTGGCAGAGAATGCTTAAGACTGTGCAAAACTACAGCTTCCATAATTCCAAGTGGTTGATGACCCATCCATGAAAAATGTTACAGTGTATTATGACAATCCATATAACATGTATTTTTTGTTTTTCATTAAGTTTCAATTTTCTTTCTCTCTAAGGGTTTTAGTGAACATGCACTGTCTCCCATGAGGGCTTTGCTGCAAAGTCAGAAAAAATTATGCATAGTTTCAGCAGAAGAGCTGAAGGAAGAGCAAGACAATTTCAATGAGGTTTGACATTGTGATAACATTTGAGTTTTTGTATTCATTTGAAAAATACTTTTTACTTACAGTAAGGTTAGCATATCTTCACTGTAGACTTTACTTACAAGATAATTTACATTTACTAGATTGTTTTTAAAACTGCTAGAAATAGAATTTTGAATTATTTTTCTATAACTCTTGGTTATCTAGACATTGAAGCTTGTTCACATTTTAAGGGAAAAAACAGTTAATTAAAATGTGTTCCTAATGGATATATTAACTCATATTTTGCTATATATCAATATTTTCCCAGATTGCTTTTAACTATATGGTTGCTTAGATGAAAAAAAATAGTTTTTGACATCTGGGAGCTACAAAAGCAGACATGAGAACCACTCTGTTGTCATACCTGGTATAAAAATTAAGTAGTAATCTACCTTTCTATGTTTAGAAGAAAGCATTGGAAGTTATGCAAAAATTGGATATTACAGATTTTAAGTTTTTAGATATTTAAAATTTTATTTTGTATATTTATATAATATATATTTGTTTTGCAGGTCACATTTCTGTGTATTGCTGATCAAACATCTGTTGCTCCTAAGGTATGGTTTCTGCATTATTGACCGTAATGAGCTAAATTTTTGAATGTGGTCTGTTTTTCTCTCTTGGAATTTACTGGTGGAGTTCAAATAACAGATTCCCAAAAGCATTTTATACCCGATTAAGAAATAAAATCTGTTATTTATCTAATCCCAGATCACAGAGTAAGGTAATAAGAGAAACAAATGGTTCTTTCTGACCTACCTTAATGGTGTGAAAGCTGCAGCTATGTGCATCTCCCTTCTGTAGTTTTAGATCAATCTTAGAATGCCTGAAGCATATTACAGGCTATTCCCCTTCTGTGTTCCAGATTTTTTGACATTACTACAGTAATACAGATGGCTGATCTATTGCTGTGACTTTGCTTTGATAGTATCAGAACCAACACAAGTTAAAATGGTGTAATAATCTGCTTACATAAACACTAAAAACATTAAAGTGACTTTTGGAGCTTAACATTCCCTGGCTAAATTCAACTGTAGTTCTGGGTAGAATAGACTGAATTAATGGGAATAATTCAATCGGTGTACTTTGGTTGAACTAAAAATTTGATTTAGCCCTGTTTCTTCTGTGTGGCAAAGGTTTATTACTAAATATGATAAATAAAGATGCCTGCTAAACATGCTGTTACAACACCATAACTATATATGCAATGTTGTTACATTATACTGCAGATAAGTGAAATAGAATTAGAATGTTATCTGGCTTGTTGTTGTGGCCTCTGCTGTTGTTGTTATCATTTTAATTTCTATTCTACCTTTTTTCCAAGGCTGTGACTCAAACTGTCCCAGTCTTTGAAAATTTGAAAAATATTACAGTTAAAAACACTGGAAAATTGATGTAAGGGGTCATCAACTACTCCTTTTACCCACTCACCCAGTTCCCCATTGGCCTTTTGAATGAATCAAGAAGGGGAAGCATCTAGTGGACATTTGGTACCACTCAGCTCTCCAAGGATCCTGACCACATCCACATGCTGTACAAATGGAAAAGTATTCATTATTATTGGACAAGCAGGACCTAAGGTTATATCTTTTGGGAATGTACAAGGTGTGTTTTTACAGTAAGGTCCTTTTTGTTGTAGACACTAGTACTTCGTGCGCATACCGCAACGAGCGCGTGCGTCGTGTACTGGCATGCCTTGTGAACAACTGTGCTCAGTTTTCACTCTGTAGCTAACCTGTATGGTTCTGTTCTGTGCTTTAAAAATGTTTAAGACTATCAACTCACCCTCCGCATGTGAGGTTCGCTCAGTGATACGGTTTTTGTCAGCAAGGAACCTGCCTGCTGCAGAAATTAATTGGCAGATTTGTGAAGTGTACGGTGATGCTGTTATGAGTGAAAGCAAAGTGCGTAAGTGGGTACGACAATTCAAAGATGGCTGTGACAACGTCCATGATGAGGACCGCTCCAGTCGCCCTTCTTTGATTACAGTGAACTCTTGGTTATCGGAGCAGGCGGCAAGTTTTTATGAAGAGGGTATTTTAAAATTGGTTCAGAGGTATGATAAGTGTTTGAACAAACTTGGCAACTATGTCAAAAAATAGAGTGAAGTATGTACTTTCTGAAAATAAATTTATTTTTTTGAAATAAACTTTCGTTGTCTACTTATGTTCAAACGGACCTTACTTTAAAAATACCCCTCGTATTCACTATGACATCCAAGCTGAAATGAGTCTAAGCAACTTTATCTGCTATATGTCTTGCAATGGGTTCTTGAGTGATCTGCATTTTGTTCATAGTGGCCAGAATGTAACAGGATAGTTCTACTAGGCTGATCTTTGCAGATGTAATGGTATCAGAAAACAATAGTTTCTTGGCTACTTGCACTGCCATGAAAAAGGCTCTAGCCCAGTGGTTCTCAACTTGTGGGTCCCCAGGTGTTTTGGCCTACAACTCCCAGAAATCCCAGCCAGAAATCCATCTGTTAGGATTTCTGGAAGTAGAAGGCCAAAACATTTGGGGACCCACAGGTTGAGAACTACTTCTCTAGCCTATGTTTGGTAGACCCTCTGGCTTAGTCTGGGAGCTGGTTTAACTCCCCTGCGAGACAGGATGCTCGGGAGTGATTGAACTCACTGTCATAGCAACTTCCCCACTTCAGAGATCACCCAAGCTATGACAGAATCTTGAGGCAACAGAAAAATCCCCCCAAACCGCTTAGTCTCCATCTAGATTCGTCAGTCACCTAGGTAGAACATTTGAATCAGTCCCCCACAGGGTCTGAGTCCCTGTGACTTTGACATCAACCAGGTTATGACCTGTCCATAACAAAAAGTTTATAGCAGATTTCTCCACATCAAGGTCACTAAAATTATTCAGGCTATTTGATGCCCTAGATAGTTTAGAGGGAATGAACACTGTTATAATCCTCCCTTCCATGATATTTAAACTGCCATATTTCCCTAATGTGCACCTTTGTTGAGTAAATTAGGGTGTACACTAGATTCAATGGTGCATTAGAATCATTTGTATAAGGTGGGCTTGCAATGCTGCCAGAGGGGCATTGCCCCATAAGGTGCTACCACTGCTGTTGCAGGGATTGCCACCGTGATGACAGGATCCCCAGTGAGCTGAAATCTGCCCCCTTTTTTCTATGTTTTGTTTCTCCGGGCAGTTTTAGATTCAGAAAGTGCCTTTGCTAGAAGCAGAAGTAATTGGAAGTGACTTCCTGATTACTTCCTGATTTGAAAAAAGACCTGTCCTTGGCATAAAATGGCCCAAGGGATCTAAAAATACAATACTGTAAAATGCTCCCCACAAATCCTAGAGATTGTGGGATATTCAGAGGGTTTAAAAAATCTTTGTTTTTGCAGATGGAGGAGTGCAAAATACACACACACACACACACACACACACACAAAGTCTTCTGAGGGGTAATGCAACTCACGAGCTGCCTGAAGTACTCACCTACCAAGTAAAAGACTAAGTTCAACATTTTGGCTATGGCCTTTTAGTTTAAGAAGTCTGGTATCTCATGTCCTGATATCTTACATATTCCTCTTTTCAAAAACATCACAGACCTTCTGAGACTGACATTTTATTATAAATAGTGGTCCTTATGTTTTGGTTCCAATAGCATATTGAGGGAACAAGGCAGTTAAGTTGAATAGTGGTCCGAGGCTGATATAAAAGGAAAGTTCCTTTGGCATGAATTTATTCCTCATAGGTGTATTGTATTTATTTTAGGAAGTGGTGGCCATGCCAGTTGAACTCACAGATCTTTTAAGGTCACTCCACTTGTGCAGTTTACATGAAAATGAAGTTATATTTCTAAAGAACATTAATAAACGATTGGATACTAATGATGTTCCTAAACAAAAGGTAAGAGAGTAAAGCCATTTTGCAAGTTATATTAATCTATGATTAGCAAAATACTGCATCCATTTTGCTTTCATAAAAAGCCTTTTCAAGTAAAAAAAATGGAATCTGGAGTATGTGTTTTGCATAATGCAGCAAATAACAAAAGGTGTGACTTGAATCAGCTGCTGAATTATGTAGATCTCACTGGTTTAGTATGTCTGTTTAGCCCACTTGGAGTTGTAGAGGAAATAAGGCTTTGTAGCAAAGTTCATATTTCTTTATATTAAAAAATCTTGTCGTATTTCCTTCACTTGAAAGTAGAAACTTTATATCCCTTACTTACATTATATAATCCAGGAAAGATGTGTACGTTTCATTAATTTATACTAACTTAGTTAATATTAAAATATTTGTAAACATTTTAAATTTACATTAACTTTTTCTCTGTCTCTCCCTTCTTTTTTTTTTTTTTTACAAGAAATACTCTTCGAGAATACTGTGTGTGATGAGATTGTCCCCTTCATTTCCAAAGCTCAAAGTTGATTCTATATTTACATTGCTAAACAAATATGCTGCGGGCATAAGATGTACTGTGGAAATGTATTCATTGCAGAGGAATCGGTCTAGCTTAACCCGAACAGAGGATGATGATACCAATCAGTCTGTGTCATCAATTGAGGATGATTTTGTTACTGCTTTGGAGCATTTAGATGAAGATGAGGCAACAAAGATGGCAAAATCTGGTTAGTTTCCCTGCAGTATTGGGTCAATTAAAATACTTTGCATTTTATTATAAATAAAGGATTATAAGCAATAGTTACCTTTCAATAACAAAATATTTCCTTCTTCCCCCTGCTCCCCCCCAAACAAACTTCATTAGGAGAATTAATATTATTATAGTTGAAAGCAGACTTACTGTGAATAATACCTACAATTAAGATTATTAAAATGTTATAATAATGGAATGTGTTGATTAACTGATCCAATATTTTAATGTGCTTGCAGTTAATGAAAACATGTTGTTTGAATTATGGACTATTTTTGATCCCCACTCAGAATTCCAGTACCTTGTGGACTATAAAAATGCCTCTTGCCCACAGAAGTATTAAATGTATTTTGCCCAGATTAAAAAATGTACAGGGCGTATAAAAATAGATTAGGTTAAACAAAACATGCTCTTTTTGTGCCATGAGATGTGTCTCAATCCCAATAAATTCTGTTGCCTTACAAATAGAAGGAATAGAAGTTTTTCCTAAACTTGTTGATAATCAGAGCGCATCATTTCCACGTTGCTCTATTTATAGTAGTTCCTTGGTGATTAACAGCTTGTATATGTATTTTCTGAGCTATCTCAGTTTTCCAGTAGCACTAGAATTGGAATCAAGAGTGCAGGTATTTGGGTTTTTTTTCAATAAATTAAAGACTGGAAATTTATGAAACATCACATAGCAAAACACACTCAAAGCAAAAGTGTTACAACTTTTTTTTGATGCTGTCAGGGTGTGTGTGATTTCACTGCTTCCTGAAAGTTACGTGGTAACATTTCCCACAGTGGTAGGCTATTTTAGCTTGAAAAGTGTTTGATTTTATATAGTGTTCCTCTAATAAATAATCATTTGATGATACTTTATCCTGTCCTACATAATTTTTTGTATGATATCTGGCTTCACCCTTCTGCCTGAAGTAAATTGTTGTGAATTGCAGAAGGTATTCTTGAAGCAGACCATGTTATCAATCGGGTTACTATCCTTCCCCTTTCTACTGAGAGAGTTATCTATGTAAATGGTTGCTGCATGCCTTTAGGTTGTTAGCCTTAAAAAAACCCTTTCCTGGGGTTTTCTTGGCAAGTTTGTTCAGATGAGATTTTGCCTTTGCCTGATAGAGTGTGACATGGCTAAGGTCACCCAGTGGATTACCATGGCTGAGCAGGGATTCAGACCCAGGTCTCAAGAGCTGTAGTATAACATGCAAACCACTGAAAACATTCTAGCTGTCGTATATATTATATACAGGTTATCTTTGAAATATTACAAATATTTCTGGCAAATACAGAATTTGTTTCTAGTACCATGTTATTCATGTATATATCTAGAAATTTTAGTCAAGCCTCATTACCCCCAAAAAGCTGTGTCAACTTATTTGTTTCTCAACTCTTATGAAAAAAGAAATGATCCTGTTATCTTGAGTAGAGTGGCAAAAGGCAAGCCACTCTACTCAAATACATCCCGAGAGAACCTAAAAGAAGCACCAACCCGGCCTACTCTCACCTATGGCACTGCTTCTGGCCTTTGAATGTCTGTGTGGGGAAATGGTTGCAACAGTGGTTGGTGTTGGTGGTTTCCCCTCAACTTCTCTACGGGTCATTTCAAAATTTATAATTGTAGCCCCCAATGTGTACTCAACTTATACATGAATTCGTCTTATGCATGAGTGTGGACAGTCAAACTGAATTAGTTCCTCTTAACATTTATGGTTCATGTTTTGAGTCAATCCAAAGATTGAAAAATGGTCCTTCTGGGCTTCACTGTCCCCAAAACACATTGCTTGCCACCCCTCTGCTCTTCTCTTTATTTACCTGGCTAGTTGTGGGATAGATATAAGGGAGGTCTGTCTTACCACCATTCTCTCTGGTACTCTGACTTGGGGCATGGGAGTGCATGAGGGCAAAGGGAACAAAGAAACATAACATCTCATTCATCTTGCTTCTGTTCCCTCTGGTGCTGCCGCCGCCTAGATATGTAAAACACAAGGGTAGTATTTAAAAGTTGTGTAGTGCTGATGGGGAAAGAAGGCAAGAATTCTGACCTAGCCAGAATTTAGAACAATTTAGGTACTAGAGAGCTTACTCGTTTTTTTTCCAAGCCTGATCTAAGAGCGACTTGCTGACACCTCCACTTTTGAAGGCAAAATTACTTGGCAATAAATAGTATAGAAATAAATAAGTTGGACTAGGAATGTATTGCAGCTCGCTTGACCATAACTAAACAAGTGAATTTCATGTTTGAAATTATTTTTGTTATCATGGCCTTGTATGTTTTATCTTCAAATACTTTATTTAATTGTTTCTTTTCCTCCTTTTTTTGGCTTAGGCTGTGTGACACCTGAGAAACATCAAGATGCTATTTCCCAAACCATATTGGATCCTCATTTAGAATCTGCTGATCAAAAGATAATTGTTAATCCTCTGTATCGGAAGCCATCTGCAAAATCGTCATCTTCCTTATTTAACATCTTGGAACATAAAGAAATATCTACTTCTGTTAGGAATTCAGTTACGACTTCAATTTCTGATCCTTGGATACAGAAAAGTTTCTTCAGATCACATAATTCAGAGCACAGTATTAATCTTCTACATAAATCATTATTTTCTTCCTCTCCTGCTGAATCATCAGAGTCAGATTGTTCTAGTCCAAGCCCTGTTATTTTCTTAGATGAAGAAGGCTATCAAAAAAGCTTGAAGGCAAAACTTCAGCTCCCCAAATTACCAGTAATGAAAGATGGTATAGAAGATTCAGATTCCGAAGTAAGTGAATTTTTTGATAGTTTTGATCAATTTGATGAACACGAACAAATTCTGGAAAACGGTTGTAAAATTGCTCAGGATCCTGTCCTAGGTAATCCATCCCAAAAGAAAACATTTTTGTGTAAAAAGCCACGTTCTGCAACAACTGCAATGAATCCTCAAAAATTCAAGTCTGACCGTCCTACGCTACTAGCCAATGTAAGAAAACCAACGCCTCGCAAACCAGAATCACCATACAGCAACCTCTCGGATGTTCCTGATTCTCCCCGTCCCGTGAAAACACCAGGAGAGGAGAGCGGGTGCTTGTTCAGTCCCATCAGATCATCAGCTTTCAGTCCTCTGGGCAGTTGCATTTCAACAGAGTGCCTTTGTCAAACTGGCTTCAGCAGGGATGCCATGAACCAAAATCATAATTTAGTTTATCGCACATACTCAGATTTTGCAAATAACATTTCCTTTGAAATTCTAGGTTCGGTTTTTAATTCTAGGTCCCCATCGTGGCATAGATGCATGCAAGAAGTTTCTAACAGTAATACTCTTGTCTCAGAAGAAGATAAAGCTCAGACTGCAAAAGCCAAAGGGTACCTTTGTGGAAAAGGACAAAATAAGAAAGGTAAATCTAAATGCAAGCCACTAGTAATTAAAGACCACATACAGAAATTTGCATCAGACCTGGTTGAAAGGAGCTTTGGCAATGCTTTTAAAGATCTCCAGAAAGGTGTGTCTTCTTGTACGAATGCTCTCTGTCACTTGGCTGCTAAATTGACGTCTTCAGTGTTTCAGATGGCCTTTTATGAAATTGGGAGGCGGCAAGCCTTTGCACTGAAGAAGAAAGCTATTAATGGGCTAGCAGGCCTTTTAGTGAGTGAAGCAGTGACAGGGGCTTTAAAAGAACTACAGTCTGTAAAGCGACAAATATTTACCAACACTGTTGCAAAATTTGCAGCAGACCTTGCAGAGGAACTGATTTTTGAAGGGATCATGGAAGTGTGTCAGTTTTCTTACCCATCAACTCCTACAACTTCTCAGAACCAGACCTTTCACTATAATGATCAAGTTGTACAGTCATATGCCAAAGACCTGTCTGAGTCAGTTATTCAGGAAGCTTTTATTGAGTTATCGCAGGTTGATATAACATTTACAACACAAGCAGCAATTAGTATTTCAATGGACAATGTTAAGTATATAAATGCAGAAGACATTTTGGAGTCAACACAAATCTCCAATGCTTCCTTGGAGATTCACGATAAATTACCAGTAACTTTGAATCCAGTACAGGAATTTGGAAAGGATTATACCGTCCACAAAGCCTTGTTCTACACCTCTGGCTTTGCAAGTTCAATCCCAGTGCCTTTAGCTGGAAGCATACTTTGCCGAAATCAGATTTTGTCATCTGATGCAAAGGTGGGGAACTATTCACCCTTAAATGGCCAAATGAAAATGCACAAAGACTCTCCAGAACTGTGTTGTAGAGTCAAAAAGAAAGGTGAAGTGACATCAGTTAGAAATACCTATGTAATAACAGATAACACTACAGGTAGAGAAAGTAACAGTCACATTTTACATAAACAAAGTGACTCTAAACAAGCAAATAATCCTAAAATCAATAACTTTTCAGATGTAACTGGTATGCCAAGCATTAGTAATTTTTCTGGGAAAATGGTAGACATGATAGTAACTGAGGCATATGAAACAGTGACTTCTTCCAAGGTTTCTAATTCTGCCCATCAATATACAGATATGTTAAAAATGGAGAAAATGCCATATTTGCAATGCATTGGTGAAGATACCTGTAAGAATATGTTTGCTAATTATTTATCCAAGCGAATTGTAAAACAGTCTGTAGATGAAACCAAGTCTACATGTTCTGCAACAGGTGAGAAATTAGCATACTGTGTGGGGTTGGGAACTAATACAAAAAACAACAGGAAAGAGTTACCCACTCCAGCAAAGCCATCTGAAAAGAACAAAGGTGTTCCAGTCATTGTAGGACAACAGCAAATGCCCCTAAATAGCTCATCTACATTTTATGGAACTCCAGTGTATTCTAATAGGTGTTTACTTTCTGGATCAAAAGACTGTGTACAGGAAAAAAAGAGACATGAAGCTCGTAGGGCTTCTGCAAGCAATCCTCTTCTTTCTTCTGCGGTGGCTTTTGTAAAGCCTACTGAAGAGTTTCCAGACCCAGAAGGTTCAGCAAAATCTTTAAGTTTCCCACAGGAAAAATACAGCTTGTGCAAAGCAACAGCATGCTCTACAGTTGGTTCTGAGAGAGTTTTTCTCAGCACAAACACCAGTAGTTCTGTGACAACGAACTGTGAAGATGGGCTTCAAATGGAAGATAAGCTGAGCATCAGAGATGGAAATCTTTGTGCAGTACCAGACACTCCACCACCAACCCCTCTAATACCCTCACAAGCTAGTTCTGAGTGCAATATGAGAAAATTAACTAAGAAACTTAAAGGTGAATTAGCAAAAGAATTTGCACCTGCAACACCGCCTTCTACACCTTACAGATCAGAAACAGATGGAATATATGAAAACGACTGTCATAAGCTAGAAAAAGAAGAATTTATGTTGAAACTGATGCGGTCTCTCTCTGAGGAAGTTGAAAGCAGTGAAGATGAAGAACTCTCTGAAACACTGACAGAGAAATTTAAAACATCGATAAGAACAACAGAATATGCTGATTGTCTAGCTTCTCAAATAATCTCTATGGCAACTGAAATGGCTGCTTCACATATAGATGATAAAGCTTTTCAGGTGAAAAATAATAAATGCCATCAAGTAAGCATGGAATACAAAGGTTGTGGGTATACTGCATTTATGAATATTCCAGAAAAAAACTTACATTCAACCAGGGTTTATGCTGGTGACATGGCTGGAAAGGTTATTAGTGAAGCGAAGAAAATGGTAAAATCTAGACATCGCAAGCTTTTGAGGTTGAAGCAATCTAATCATAAGGCTGATAGCTCCCATCTTAAAAGAAACTGTCATGACTGTTGGTCAAAAGACACAAGGTTTTCCACAGGGGATCAATGTGTGAAGGAAAGTGATTCCTTTGTTTTGTCTTTACCAGAGAATTCAGATGCTCCAGGCCTTACTTCTAAATACCCAAGTTGTGAAAGTGTAACTGATGAATATGCAGATCATATTATTCGTATTTTGAAAAGAGAAGGTGGTAACAATGAACTAATAATGGACCAGTTTGCCAGTAGAATTGTGTATCGAGCTATAAAATCTGGTATGCATCAAGCGGCCAGGAAACTCCAAATGAAGTATAATAGAAAGATATCTTCTGCCCCAAGCACTGAATTAAACAATAAGCTTGAACTGTTTGAGGTAGTAAACAAAGGTGTGGATATAAAGAAACATAAAAAAAGTAATAATCATCCACCTGGAAAGCAAATGTGTGGAAACAAATGCCATACCTGTAGAACTGAAAGCAAAAAGTTAATAGATTTCTCTGAATCCCTTGCATATAATATAACAACTGATGTCAGAAAAAAATTAATGTCAGCAGCTTGCTTACCAAAATCCTTAACTGATTCTTGTTTATATGAAAAGTCCAAAGTTGATGAAGTTACTGATATAAAAACAGCATTTTCTAAAACATCATCTCCCTTTTGTTACAAAGAAAAGCTGCATCATAGCACAGGCTGTTTGAATGAACATTCCTACAGAGATGGTGTTATTAATGCCATAGAACAATATGCAAGAAAAGTAGTAAATGATGCTTTAACCTTAGAATCCGCTACTCTGCAAACTTCTGAAAACTGGACAAATGGAGAAAGATCAACACATGCCGAAAAGATTTCTCCATTTTCTGCAACAGCTTGTAGATATTGTAGTATGAAAGAACATCAGTACTCAACTGGAAACGCATATTTGGATCTTACTGGACAAGAGTACTCGAAAATTCAACAGATTTCAAATGCAAGTGATATTTGCCCAAAATCTCGTGTTCTTCACTTGGATATTCCCAGAATCCATATTGACATGGATGAGAGGGTTATGTTTGCAGATAGTGTGGTGGCTACAGCTTTTGACACAGCAGGAAGACAACTAAGTAACACAAGTTTGACAGCTGATAGTGGAATTGGACATGACGGAATGAGCTTTGCTGAAAGCCTTACTACAGAAATCATGACTTCCTGTATGACAAACATTGCTCCAGCTCTTAACATAAGGTAATATTAAATTACTTTTTAATATAATTTTAATCCCTGTGGAATGAAGCCATGTTTAGTTCAAGAATATATATATTTGCATTTGTATTTTCATGATTAGCACAGTTCTAAGTTAAGAAACTGGAGAATCTAAAAAAATAAGGTTTTTAGTCTTATGGTAAAGCTTCAAAATAAATAAGGACACACTGTTCAGTACTAGTGGGATAGAAAATGTCTATGCAAAATCAGATCAAACTAGTCTTTTAGTAACATTGTGATGATAGTAGAAAAAATTAAAGCACAGAAGCTTCACGCCATTAGATTTACAGAATATGTGCACATTGCATATGAATAATGTCAACACTGTTTACCCTATCTTGCTTCCAAATTTATGATTAAATTGGAAGGCTCAGTTGGGCTCTGTTGATTTGTCTTCATTACTAATACAGCTCAGCAGAATCCAAAGTGACCCTCCTTGCTGTTTTTGAGGAGAAAGCAAATGTGTCCCATAAGCAATCTATATGCATTGTTTGTGCACAGTTTGCGCAGTTGGAGAAAGGAATGTGCTTGGTGATGAAAGAAAAACCTATTGCTTCCTCTAATTTTGTTGTTGACTGCTGTGACTCATGGCCACCATATTAATGAGAGATCTCCAATTCACCTTATCTTCAATAGCTGTGCTCAGGTCTTGCAGACTCAAGGGCATGGTTTCCTTGGTTGAATTTATCCATCTGTAATGCCATATCCCTCTCTTCCTCTGCTTCCTATATTTGCAAGCATTATTGTCTTTACAGCAAGTCATGTCTTCTCATGATATGTCCTCTAATTCACAAAATTTTGATTGACACAAACGGCATATAGATGGGTATCCCCTGTTAATATGTCATACCATGTTTAATTTAGGGAAGAGAAGGAATGGGGGGGGGGGTGGAGAAAAAAGGGAGGAAAGAAAGAAAAAAGAAGGAAAGATAAGAAAGGAAAAGGAAAGAAGGGAGAGCTGTATGTGGAAAAGCAAGGAAGGAAAGAGAAAAGAAGGAGACGGTGTATGAGTGAAAGGAAGAAAGGAAATAAACACTCACAAAGAAAATGCACATCTGGACAATACCTGGTATGCTAGTGTATATATATATATATATATATATATATATATTAAAAAAAACAAAGCAAGTGAAAGTTTCCTATCATTATATGCATTAGAGACAGACATCTGTATTGGTCTGATATTTCTAGAATATCTGAAATAATGTTGCAGTGCTTCTAGAATAAAAGAACTTTTTGTCCTCAATGACAAGATAAGCTATTTTGATTATACAAAAAGTAGCTGACTAAGGCTTGATAATGCTCCATTCCTAGTTCTAAGTAGTTGTAAAAAGGAAATGAAGGTAGTGTCTCTAAGAGCACAAATGCCTATTAGATGTAAAGTATGTAAAGGCAGGATATTACCTTCTTGTTTACCTGCTAATTGTTTTTTCCACCAGGATTTATAGAGGTAGATATCATCAGCATATTAGTGACACCAAACTCCAAATTTGAGATAATAATTATTTCCAGTGATTTCATGTAGACATTGAACAAAACTAATGCCTGGATTGAGGGACTGAACTGAGGCCTGGAGGAACTTACAACCAGGGCATCAAATAGGAATCCCCCACAACCACCTTCCAATTCCGCCCCTCTGGGAAGGACTAAAACCACTGTCAAACAGTGTCCCAACACCTTTCCCATATCCTTCTCAAGAAGGATACCATGATTAATAGTACCAAAATGTGCCAAGAGGTCCAACTGAACTAATAAAAATGCACTCCCCTTTCAAGTTCCCTTCATAGATCATCCAAGGTGACCAAAAGACATGCTGTCTGTTTTCCATAGACAGCCCTGATGCCAGATTGCAATCAATCTAGATAATCTGTGTCACCTAGAAATCCCTGGAGCTGGGAGGCCAGCACAAACTCTAGAGCAGTGGTTCTCAACCTGTGGGTCCCCAGGTGTTTTGGCCCAGCCAGTTTACCATCTGTTAGGATTTCTTGGAGTTTAAGCCAAAACATGTGGTGATCCACAGGTTGAAAACCACTGCTCTAGAGTCTTGCTGAGGCAAGGAATATTGGAGATTGGTCTGTCATTCACTAACATAGTACTGATCAGGGATATTTTTTTCAGCAATGGCTTCACGATAGCCTCTTTTAGGTTGGATGGAAAGCTGCCTTGCTTCAGTGGGGCATTCACCCTCCCCCTTACACCATATGTTTCGAATCCAAGGCCTGCAGGCTGCATCTGGTCCACCATGTCATTTTATGGAGCCCGCAAGGCTTTCAATGCCAGGGTAACACACAATTACAAATGGCCCTTTAAAGGCAACTATAAGGCCCTCATTGAACATGAGTTTGACGCTCTTGCCTTACAAACACAGCTATTAGCTCTCATCTCTCCAAGAAGTCTGTCCACATCCTCAGTTTGCACCAATAATACAGGACAGGGAGATGCCAAGGTTATATCCAAGGTAAATGCATCATTTATAGCATCCAACCCAGAGTGGATCTGAGAAACATTGCCTGCAAAATATCTTGCAAATTCTTGGCAGTTGAGCAGTCTGCATTTCCTGTTTGTGAAGCAGAAGGTAAAAGATCCTTCACTATGAAAGACAGCTCCACTAAGTGAGGCAGGAGGACATAGCATGTTACAAAAATAGTATACCTGCCAAATTGCTTTAAAACAGACATCTTTAAAAAATAGATTTGTCACCAAATCTGGTGATAAGATGGTGTGAGAAAGAGAGATTTGGGGCTACAAAAACAACCTTTGAAGATCAAGACATACTCACTGCCCAAGACATCGGTTTCTACATTAGGTATTATTAATGAGCACATTCAGCATTTTACCAATGGATAAAAGCGGAGTTAGAAAAGAATTATTGAGGAACTGTATGAAAACAATAATTATACTATTTTTTTCCCATTTAGCTCCATGGGAAAAGAGGGGTTTTATTCTGCTGACTCCACAGCCAGCCAGCAGATGAGTCTGAGCACCGGTGATGACAGCACTGGTAGCTGGTCCAATATAAGTTTCGAAGATGACCATCCAGATGAAAATAGTAGCTTTCTACACCTTAGTGACAGGTAATTATAATATGTTCGCTTTATGCTCACAGGCTTTGATGATGTGCCTTGACCTCTAATCCTGCATTTTTCAAAAAGTTTAGAATTTTGTTTTTGTTTCTTTTAATTGCATTCAGCTTCTTGAATATGCTATTCTAAGCAATAAAAAATGACATGTGGAGTTAAACTGCAAACACGATTTGCATATTCAATACCAGTCTATTAAAAAGTGTCTTAATACAAAGCAATTCATGCTATTGAGAGTCTGTATGGTAATCTTTTTTGTAATTCATTGTGAAGGAAAGAGAGTCTTGGGAAAAAGATTCATGAAATAAACCCTAGATTTCCATTCCATATACAAGTAGTCAGTAAGTTACAAACATCAGACTTAGAAATGACTAATAGTTAAGAATGGGGGTGAGACAACAGGATGTGAGAAAAATCTACCCCTTGGAAAGGAATTTCACTCTTGAAAGAGTTATCATGGGGAAAAGGTGTTTCCACTGAAGCTTCATCACCAATGCTTGTTTCCACAAGTCATTATTTAAAAAATCAAATGATCACAGGGTCAGAAAATGAGGTGAAATCTTCTGAACAGGGGCACAGACAACAAAACAAACCCCACAGGGGTGTAAACCCTTCCCTATGCTATCCAAAGCTATCTATTGGCTGGAGTTACACGTAAAAAGGTACCTTTTCTGACTTCAAACCTATCCTGTTCGTAACTTGAGGATTGCCTGTATAGTTAAGCAAAACAAAACTATTATGTGTATGTCATTATTCAGACCATTTGGATTTCTGAGAAAATGAAAAAGAGAAACAACAATAAACAACAAAGATAAATAGTTTCAGATTTTTGGGTATTTCTTCAATAGTTGCATTCATCCCAATTGCAATGTCTATGATATCAACCAGATTGGCATGAAATCTTCAGGCATTCATCTAAGGGTCATCATTCTGTAGGCAATTTCAGAGCTGGATAAACACAGATAAGCTAAAGTTGTGCATTCACGAAACAGGGCAATCATTTTTATGTGTGACTTTTCTATGAACTGTACATAAAAAAGAGAACCTTTTCATTCATTTTGATTTTTTTCCTCCCTGTATCATTCCCTCTGGTGGGACACAGAGGAGGACCTTCTAGCCGTTCTCAGTCCCTAGGAAAGCATATACAGGATGTGCCTTCAAATAATGGTGCTCTAGACCATTTAAAGTTTTAAATATCTTTCTCACTACCTTAAATTTAGACCGGAAATACATTGACAGCCAGTGCATTTCCTTTTAAATCAGTGGTGGTTTGTATAAGCTGTGTCAGTCAGCAATTTATTTGCTGCATTTTGCACTCACTGTATTTTCTGTAGTGAGTGCATTTTCTCACTGTTCAAGGACAGTTCCACCCAGAATGCATCACAGTAATCTGATTGGGGGGATTGCCAGTGCAAGGGCTACCATATCAGGGGTTTCTATGTCCGGAAAAGGCTGTAGCTGGCAAGCCAGTTGAAACCGTGTCCAGGAACTTTTAACCCTAAGAGTCCGCTTGTTCCTCAAATGCTAGAATTAGATTTATCACTACCAACAAATTCCTTACTTGCCCCTTCGGACAATTTTACCCAATTCTCAGACCTTGGAACTGCCAGCCTACATAGTCGCCCTCTTCTTTGGGTTCATCTGCAGTTTATTGGGTTTCGTCCAGCCCTTTATAGCACCCAGGTACAGGTTGAGAATCAGCAACTGATTCCAGTGAGACGGAAATTTAATGTGCTCTTAATGTGCTCTCTTGAATGTTCATGTAATAACCAGCATGGAGCCAAAAGGGCATTTTATGGCACTGCATAGCTTTGTAATGATGGGAATGAATAGTAACTCTCAAAACAGTCTCTGGGATCTGCCCTGTCAACAAGAGTAGAACCTTCAGATATTCTGGCAATATACTATGATCAATAGTCTCAAAACCTACCAAAACAGTTGGAAATGTCAACAGGATAGTACTCCTGCTGTCTTTAATCAGGCTAGGTTGCCACTATGAGTAGTTAAGGTTGCTTCAGTACTGCATTATAGCCTGAAACCAGAGTTATTTTTTCTCCTAGGATTATGTGAAGCTGCTCTGCCATCAATATTAACTCATGTTTTACATAATTGCTTCTTTTGATTTTTTTTGTTGTTGCTATAAGTCTCTTTGCCTTATTTGGCTATTTTACTGTTGAAGGTACCATGGATTCCTCTCCCGCCTCCCCTTCTCCTTTCATAAGAAAGACAGACCCATCTATAAATCAGTAATAATACTACATGAGTTTGCATGGAACAGCTTGATGGAGGCACAAAATTGCATGATAGAAATCTGATATTATAAACAAGCTCCAGAATAGCTCTTTACATGTTTGGAACTGTATTTCCCCTCCTCTAGTACATGCAGTTGGCACTGTGTCCCCCGGCCATTTAGTGGCAAGGGAAAGCCAGATCAAAGTATGTGCTGACAAAGGAGTATTTGGCTGAATTTCTACATTTAAAGTATTAACATTAGGAAAACAATATATATGCTAATTTCACAACATTATTTGGAAGCAATGACATTCAACGTTTTGAAAGAAATCAAATGATTTAAAAATAAATACTACATGTTTATTTTTTCTTTTCTTAAAATCTTTTTTGAGGTAAGTATATTTCCCAGTTGATCCTTACAATAACCATGTGACACTAGACTACTGGAATGGTCCAGTGTCATCTAATGAGCTGCATGGCAGAGTGGCCTTTGTCAGTAAGGACTGGTTGTGCTTTATTCAGAAATAGGGGCAATTCTAACAAGTAGATCAGGCCTGCAGGTGTTTTGGACTTGAGCTCCCAGAACTCCTGACAATTGGGCAAGCTGGCTTTGACTTCTGGGAGTGGAAGGCCACAGGTTGAGCAAGCCTGAAGTAGATCATGAGACAAACTTTGCTATGTGACTGGGTAGACCCTTGATTTCTGCAGAGACTAAAAATTGTTCTTGAAAATTGACCTATCACAGATCAAAAGGAATTAAACTATTTAATCTGGAAGAATTAAGGAGGGGGGAGGAATTTTCAGGAGACAGCACTTTTTCCTGGAAGCAAATTGTTTCATTCTGTAATACGTTGAGAGAAATGAGTTGTGTTTCTCTGTTACAATTTCCTGGTGGAAGACAAACATTGACTTTCAGCAATAAGTGTTTTCAATTAATTTAATGAATGGCTTTTTAATGTTCTACATGGGAACAAAAGTTGTAGTTCTCCATGAAGATATTAGCTGGAATCCCAGGAATTACATGAGGCACCTTGAAGGATTTGAGCATGCCCAGTGTACTCTTTTCCATTCTAGTTTGATTACATTCTTCTCATGTAATATGACATGTTACTTATCAGACTTCTTTCCATCTCAGATAGACCCCTCCAGATGCTGAACTGCAACTTTTATCCTCTATCACCATTGTCTTTCCTGGCAAGGGCTGATAGAAACTGTAGACTACAAACATCTGGAGGGCCACACATCTAGCTTTTACTATAAAGAAACCAACATGCAGTTTGCTTTTGTGAAAGGAACCAGCACTGTTTCAGCTCTCAGGAAAGCCAGAGTATTTGTTCTTTGTGTGCTGTGAGTGGAGATTGAAGTTGTGTTGCATATTTTGTATGTGGAGCTTAGCAATGATTCAGCCAATGTTTGAAGGTTGTCTGGGCAATTTCATGCTCCCTTTTAGCAGAAAAAACAAGACCTGTTTCTTAATAGAGGGAATGTTCTCCAGTCAGATCCCTGCTGCCATGACTCCATGTCTGTCACCTTCATTTCTACAGAGGGCCTCTAAAACAAAGCTATTGAAGAAAATGGCTGCAGGCACACTTACTCAAACATATTTACTCGAATCTACATAAGGCAAGACAAGACAAGAAAATAATGTCTTGTGATTGGTGAAAGGTGCATCTGGATGCCCAACTCTTTGCCTTTGCTCAACAACCAAATTGCTTTTGACAATGTGAGAAAAATGCCATGTTGTTGGGCATTTATTCTAAAGATTTCAGACAATTATTTTTGTGTGTCTTTACATCCTGTTCTTGTATACATCTGAAGAAGATAGCACCACTGCTTTGGAGTCCAAATGGAAAATGAAGGTTCTGCCTTGGACTAATTTTTGTTCTAGTTCAGCTGTGTTCTCTTCTTCCCCTGGCAGTAATGGTAACAGCAGTAGCTGGAGCAGTCTTGGTTTAGAAGGAGATATATATGAGGAGAATTTATCCTTTCCAACATCAGACAGGTTGGTCGAACCAAGACACTGAAATAGGCTGGTTCCTCATATTTTAATGCATGATGTCATTTTTTTGAGACTGAAGAGATTGTCATATATGGAATGTGATTCATTGTTCACATGCTTTTCACCAAATCATGGTTTTCCTTAACAAAATCATACTGAATGGATCCATTTTACTGTGCTACCATATGAATGCCCCCAGCACAATGGGGAAAACACTTATGCATGTTGTGCTTGCTATTCTAGATGCTTCCAGTTACTTCTTCATTAAAATTAAGAGCTTGCTTCCTACAAATTTTTGGATTTTTTTTCAATTTATTTTTCTGTTGGCATTTGTTGTACAAATAAGGCTGAAATATTTTTATCTCATCAAAACGAATACATATTTGAAAATAAAAGGTAGAATTTCTGAACTGTTACTTGAGAAATTTGTAAATCATGTAACAGGAAATGGTGTGAGAAGCAATGCTTCCTTTTCACAATCATTCCTTGATAATTTTGTCAATCCATAGTTTTCCTTGAATGTTCATCCCTGTCTCTCCAAAGTAGGGCATGTTAGCATTACCACACACTGCAATAATTATACTTTTCTCTCCCAGTGATGGAACAGAAGACAAAGAAGAAGAGCTTAAGGATAACATTGAAGGTAATGCTATATCTATTAGTTAGTTCAGAACTGATTAAAGTAAACTCACTCTGTGTCAGCTTTGGTAAGTCTTGTGCCAGTAGAGCAGTACTAGATTGCTTAAGAGGAAATGCTTTGTATTATGTTAAGCCTAAACTACTACAGACCCTAGTCTGTGAAAATTATAGCTTTTGAAGAGGTTTGTGGAAAAAAAATTGTGCATGAACATCCCAGTTCCACTTTATAGGTATAAGCAATTACTTTCTCTCAGAGAAAGTGAAACCCTAACTAAAATGTTGCAAATGCCACAAATCCTCTAACCTTCCATTAGACAGAAAAAGATTTCATCACCACACAGTCAATGATTTTGTAGGCCCTGAAAATTGAGATATTCCTAAACTTAAAAGAATATGCTCAACAATGCTTCATGCACTCCATGTTCATGTTGTAAAGCGCTTGTTCCCGTGCCATGTATAACCAGGATTATCTCACTCTAAGAACATCATGTGACTGGCAGTTTTATTTTGAACTGCAGTAGTCAGAGCTCTCTAACTTGGAAATTGTCTTTTTCAGCAATGGCTAACTTTAGTTGACATTATAATGATATTCATTGGTTTCATGAATACATGAGGTCCCTAAGTAACAGACTTATGTCTTCCTGGTTCATGACCATGCCACATTGAGAAACAAAAATAGGGGCAAATGACTGTGGCAGGGAACATCTTTCATTTCCTGTCATGGTTGAGCTGCCACATTTTGCCATTCTCCTCTGAAAAACAGCCACTAATTGAAAACATACATTATTTGTGTGTCAGTTTCAGGGGCACGAAGCACTTTGAGTAATTCTACTGCTTCTTAATGCAGCCAGAACTGTGGTTAAGTTTTTGAGGGTATTTTTTTCTTTGGCCTGGAAAAATTGGGAGTTTAGGAGCCACTAAAAGAAATGCCCTGTTCACATTTACACCTCTTGTCTAAAGAGCTACTCTTCTGACAATCTCAGCGCTGTGTAGAATGCCCCGCAGAGTAGAGAATCCACTTAAAGCAAGGTACCTCACCACATAGGGCTTTCTACCCCCATCAAGTAAATGTGTGTAGAACCCTGTTCAACCAAGGAAGTCAGGACTCCAAGCACATACAGCAAAAAATGGATCTTACTTTTGTGGACACTATCTCTTTACCTTTTTATGCATCTCATGCATTTAGGAAAAGGTCTGAACAAGGCTCTCTGGTGAATCACAACTCTTTAGTATCATACTCTAGTGTGCATCTTTCTGCACAGAGGTTAGGCAAGCCACCCTTCATAATTTGTGTGGTTGATCAATATAGGCACCAACCTCCCACCCCTGACTCCAGATTGTGAGCAAGAATGTATCCAGTGCCATTGTCTGAAGAATTATATAATCATTTTTAAATTAAATTGTGGGCTTTGTCTTTTAATCCTCTTTTACTTGCTGTAGAGTTAGGAAGCACAGAAAATGCACTGGTAATCGTAAACGTTGACGTAGGCCCACACGTAGTGGATTCCCAGCTGAGAATGACACTGCAGTGGCTGAGTGCTTCAGAAACAGAGGTCACTGAGCTTCATTTCCAGGATGACGTTCCAGAGGACTTTATTCTCGTGAGTAATAAAAGTGTGGTGCCTTTATAAGTTGTGATTCCAGTCCTTCATATGGCTTGTTGCACTTTGCACAGGAGTAGTCAGGATCTAAAATACTTTTACAATTATGAGCCTGGGTAGAATAAACAGCTCACTCCCATCAGCTATGCAACTTAAATTATCTCCAGGGCAACCTGTGTCAAATTGGAGACAGAGCTGTGAGCAAGTCACATATTAGTAGATGTGCTTGATAACATTGCTCCAAAAATACACTATAAAGTCCGACCATGAACAATACAATCAGTTACGCTGCAGTGAAACACTCTTTATTTGACTTACTGCATGTGGCAGTGTTCGTTCTGTGTGCTTGGCACTGAGATGCTTTGGCTTTTGCTTTTCACTTCCTATTTTCTTTAATTTTTCCCCCAGCTCTTCTAATTTATATGTTTTAATAGAAGGTATAACTGAATTTATGGAAACTAAATATAAAACAACAAGAAAATACATTATGGACTGTAATTTATTTCCAGATAATTTTGGTTAACCTTTGGCCTATGTGCTTCTCCTTTGATTCCACATGCAAGAGGAGGAAAACAAAAATTTTCTGCCTTCAATTCTTAACTAATCACAGTTTTTCAGTCTCTGTAGCCCAGTACATAAAGCTATTACTGCACTCAGAGTTAAAACTGAGTACAGGTCCCAAATCCATATTTAATTTCACAGGCCGCTACCCAAAAAGATGTATTAATTACTGTAGATGTGTTTAAACATATACACACACGCACACATGTTCATTCTACTTATGGTTAGTTCTCCAGGATGTAATAAGGGACTATGATTACATTAGAAGGAATAATATTATAACAATAATAACATTTTATTTCTAACCCGCACCTCTCTCCCTGAAGGGACTCAGGGCAATTTCCGAACACAACACAAGGCAAACATTCAAAGCTATAAAAATATAAAGATTTACACATACAATTAAAACAAAATAAATAACTTTGGCTAAAAGTTATAAATCTTTTAGGAATAGGGTTGTAAAGAATAAAACTATTTTGTCTACCAGAAGGAAGAATAGCTTTAAATCACTATGTATTATTTACAACATTTTAGTTACATTAAAAACACATATTTTATTTATTTATTTATTTATTTATTTCATATGCTTGTACCCAGCCCTTCACACCCCTGGGGGGGGGGGGGGGGAATCAGGGCAGCCTCACAGCAGGCACCTTTTGGTGCCATCATAATCATAAAAACCATTCAACAAATTCATTAAAACAAAACATTAAATACATAGGGAATGCAACAGTACAAAAACCAAGATATTAAACCAAAAACTTTTAACTACCCTACTAATAACTAAGTAATCCCTTCCCCCTCTGTCCTGGACAAAAACTAAACCAAAACTTACACAAATCAAGGAAATGGGCTTCCACCATGCCACTTCACAATTGAAACTGATTTCTCTAATTTTTCCTCCTTTATTATCTATTGGAATTATTACTTCTATTTAAATTATACTTTTAGCCATAACCTATTATTGCTGCTGTTATCATATACAGTACAGAATAATCCTTCCATATTTTTCTTGAATCACTAAGAATAGAAGCAAAATAAGTTCTGATTTCCATTGTAACTTTATCTTCAATATTCATTCAATCTTTTGAAGATTTTATGTCCATTTTTTTGCGTTGTCACATGTTCACCTCAAATGATAAAAAGTATTTTCTTTTTTCTTTCATTTCCAACACATATTTGGAGAGACTATATGTATTTTAGAATTTTTGCAGGTGTCAGGTACCATGTAAACATAATTTTACATAACTTCTCTTTAAGAGATCCTAAGCCAGTGTATTTTTCAAATTGTGCATCCCCTTTCTTCTTACTGTGACATATGTTTACAATGAGCCACATTCAGAGCTCAATTCATCTTCAATATCAAATTTTAACAAAAAAGATTAACAAAAAACAATACGTCTTAGCCATCACTCAGGAAACTGTCAAGCATATTTTTTGTTTTGTGCTAAAGAATTGTTTGGAAAAAATGTCATGAAATGCAAGCTGTCACTAACAGATATATAGGAAGTCTTATTTTCCCCCAGCAGGGAGAAAACTTTTGAAATCCTTCATTCCAGTGCATTAACATGACACAAGTGAAGAGGAAGCTTTTAGTCTTCTTGTGTGGGTTTGTTCTCATAACAACAAATCATTATTCTCATTCTTTGTTATGAGAACAAGTAACATTATTTGTTGTTATGAGAACAAGTAAAAGCAAAGCAGCAAACTTTAAAAGCCATCAGAAACTCACATAGGCAAATATATCAGCCATATATTTACTTATCTGAATTCCTGGTTGTTTTTAAAGTTTGCTGTTTTGCTTTTACTTATTACTAAATAGTACAGATTTTTTAAAAATAAGTTCCAAGAATTTGCCACATACATTGCGGATTAATATATATCACAAAGAGAAAGAATGTGGTGGCAACCCTGTGTATGATCTCTACCATTTTAGATTCTAGGAGATGATATACACAACCAATTGTTTCACTATATGCAACTGAAATAACCCTAACACTTTTTTTTTTGGCCTCTAGTTAGTTTTATGTGCAGGTACTTGTTTTCTTGTTATTTTTTGTAGGAGCACATTGTAATCAAAAACATGGTTCTATCTTCATATTGCATAGTCTGCTAAGTCAGAATAATTGTCCAGAGGTTGTATAATTTCAAAGTTTTATTCAGAGTAGGAAGCAACTTCAGTTTTGTCGGTGCTGCTTTTCCTATTTCCCATGATTCATATGAGGTTCCTTTCAAAGTCCTATACAGTGTAACTGCTTTTCTCAAATTCCTTTCAGAAGAAAAGTGATTTAATTACTTCATCTTGGCTTTTAGTTGGCAATCCTAGTTTTCTGTTTTGTCATTCTTACACTTCCTAAATTTGCAACTCTGGAGTCAGTGGCTTGCATTAAGAGCAGAGTACATATATCAAGGAAACCACACTCTGGATGATGCAGGAATAGACCCCTTTTAGTTTTCATTTGTGCAACTGAGGGATGCAATTATTGAAAGATGGTGAGAAATGTATTAATTTTGTTCGGAATCTTTTTTTTAAAAAAAAAACGACTGTATACTACCCACAAAACCATGGACCACAGATCTTCTGAGAATGTTACTCTGAAGAACATCCTTAAGGAAATCAGAGAGAAAGAAAATATCCCGACTGAGAGCATCTTGTTTTGACAGCTGTAAAATATTAACCTTTTACTAGCATGTAATCTTAATACTGTGGCTGTTGGTTTGCATTAAAAAAAATAGAAATAACATTTCAAAACTACTAGTAAGTAAAGAAAATTAAGACTAATTGCTTTCTTGAATGGATTGCAGAGATAATCAAGTAGAATAAAATAATAGTATGTCGCTAATTTTCCTTTATTTAGTATGGGACAGTAAGAGAAGAAAGCGATCCTATTGTTTTCAAAACAGGCGATGAGAACCTCACACCTCTCCCTCACATGTTTATTAAATTTTTCTCATCCTTGGAAAACTGGCACTTGAATGGAAACTTATCTTTCAAATAAGTACTTTACCACAGACTCTCACAATTTGGTTTTACATCTAAGTTCTTTTTCTGGGGGTGTTGTCTATAGCTTTCAAAGAAATTGCGAGAAAAAGGCTGGAAAGTGGGAGACCTCTTTCAAGCTGTGCTGAAGTACTGTGACATGATGGAGAAGGTGGCTGCTGATGGCGAGAGAAGCCTGGAAAGTAAGACTTTCTTGGGATGGCTTCAGGAACACATCTGAATACCCAAAGATGCACTGTTTCTTCACTTCATGCTTCCTTTGGAAAGATGGAAACGTGTAAAATACACTTTAACTAGCAAATATAGCATTGTTTGCATTGTAAGAAACATTGAGGTGAAAGTAAATGTAGCTGTACTGTCATGTGCTTTGTGCTGCTCGCTATGCTTTTTATCCAATGCATATCTTCATAATGATTATCTCTATTCAGTCTGGTCAAGTTCACTTGTACCTGTGCTGTGTTCAGCTTGTAGTGGTGGGGAGAACAAACTTGTCTTTTGTGTGTAGTAATGATAGTCTCAAGCCAAGCTAGGACAAAAGTTACACAATCTTTCTTTCTCTTCCTAACGCTACACACACACACACACACCTTTTCTGCTTTCAGCAATCTGTAAAAAGTGTTCAGTGAACACTGCCGATTTGCCACTTCTGTTTTCCCTACAATGGAGCATAAGGCATAGTTTGTTGTTTTTCTTGAGCTTCTAAGGAGCTTACAGGTGGCCTGGGTGTTGTTTTTTTTTGCAGACAAGGAGAGCTGCTCCCTTCCAAGTATGGCCTAAAATTGTTCAGATCTGTCCGAGAATTAAAACGTTTTCCTCACTGGAAAAACTTGTTGAAAGACCAGCCTCCTTTATCAGTTAGAGGTGAGAACTTGAATAACTAATTCAATAAAAAGAAATAATTAAAATAAACTTGTATGCTAGATGTATATTCTACAGAGCTCCAATATAATGAAAATATATTTATTTTGATATTCTTTGTGGTATTCTAGCAAGAGCCTTGTTATCAAAAGGCCCTTTTCTTGTTTGGAGATAGATGTGTTCCTCTGCATTTACACAAATGTGCAAAGAAAAAAAATAAAACTGAGTTATTTTTTATTTAAATGCCTTCTTTTGGCCAGTGGAACAAGAATAAATAGCCCATTTTTGTGCTTTATTATTTTGTGTCAGGAAGCATATTTAATTTGTTAAAGTATTTTTTTAGGACCAATGGTGAAACTTCTTTTTATTATTTGGGAACTTTTCTATAAAAAGCAAATTCCCTAAAGCAGCATATTAGTATGGAACATTAGTATGGAACACAGCATTGCATAGGCATTTTAATAAACTCATTCTATAATAATAGATTTTAAAATAGGTTCCTGTGCAGTTCGATTTGAGTCAACTCAATCTAGTTACCAGCTGTGCACAGTAGAAATAGTCAGAGTTCTTTGTACTTGGGCCTCAGCCAGTATCAATACTTAATTCTTGGAGCAATAGGGCAGCACTTATTGCTGGCTACTCTTATAAACATGGAAACAACTTCTGTTAATTTTCTCCCAACAGCGAGAAAAGTGCTAGTGGCTGCTGCTTCTCCTGTGACCCCAACTCAGTGTAGGTCACATCTTTTCAAATACAAAATGCACTCTCAGTTTTTCATGAGACATCTTGATTATCAGTGTTTAGTTTGCAAGGTGTGTTTGTGACCGCTTAATTCGCTTTAACTTTCAGCTGCCTTTGTACATTCCTGTTAAAACTGGAGCCACATTGTAGACAGTTAACTAAGTTTTAGTGTTTGGATATGACTCAATGCCAGACTTAATAAATGAGCAGTTAGGATAACAAACCACTACTTTTACGTTAATTTGTTTGAGAAGGAGTTCCAGTAAAATTTGACATTTTGGATTAAGATACCAGCTAGCCAGTGTTAAAATTATTGGTGTACATTTTTGCATCTTGAAGCCTTAATTTGACATCCAGAACAAGGGTGTGTAGTCTCTTAACTGTCGGTCCCACTTGTGTCCCCAGTGGATTTGTACTCTGGAGTTAGGTGCCTTCATAGGAGGTGTGACAGCTATAGGAATGGTAAGGGGATGCCCTTCTTAACTACACACTATGATGGTGGCCTCTGAATTGGTGCTGAACCTTTTTCTCTGTGGCAGCATTGCAGTCTGAGGTGAACTTGATTGGTTTTGGCATCTTCTAGGTATGACAGATACCTATCTTAAGTGAAAATTCACCAGATACAGTATTTCAAGGCATAGACATGTCAGGCTGGTAAGATCTGTTGCTTCAGGTTCCACTGTTGAATCTTGATCTTCAGCAGAAATTGAAGAAACAGAAGACCTGTGTAGAAAGAGGAGATCGTGGGGATACTTGAGAACAGCTGGGGAAGGCGTGATGAACAGCCCTCGTGATTAAAATGCCTCCATTGGCTCTGAATCCTAAGGAATCCAAACATTTGCATATCAAGAGGATGTGCAGAGATTTTGGGATAAGGATTGAGGAGTCTATGACAGGTAGCTTGGATTAGGATGTCCTTCCCTTTCTAGGTTTATTAAATTTGGTATTTCTGAGAAAGGCTTCATGCCTGCACCATCTGCAAGCTCAATTACTGAGGCTGGAGAGGAAGTTAGTCTTGATTCTATTCATCTCTGAATAGCAAATTGAAAAATAAATGATTTAAACTTTGCAGTTTCAGTGCACCTTGACTAACATTGTTTGATGGTTTTGTTATGTCTTTCCTACATGACTAATGCAGAATGTAGCATTTATATACATCTTCTGGGTCATGTAGACACGTGTGAATGGTGGCCAGATACTTTAAACTACAGACATACTGTATTTATGCTTCACTGTACACACAAGAGCCCCTTTTTATTCCAGAAATGCTAATATTGAAAATCACCCTTGAAATGACAGTTATAAAGTTTAAAACAGTTTGAATAACTGTAGTTCTTTCTATCAGACTGCAGTAAATGAAGGCAACATGAAGCTATGTGTAATATTGATATTTTGCTGTTTTTAGAAATTTGGTGAAACAGTTAAGAAATGTGAATTTCAGGTTGCACTAAACTTGTCTTTGCTGTAGCACTATATTAAACTAAATTGTATATAAACAAATCATATGTTGTTTCATAATTTCTAGTCAACTGACAATTTTAGTTTGCTTTTATCTTGACCAGAAAAAAGCAGAACCTGCGGTATTATACCACATTTCCTAACTAAATATGTTAGAAAAGATGGACAGAAAGACAAAGATGAAGGAAAGGAAGAAAAGTGGAAAAGAGAGAAAGAAAGCTAAGTAGGAAATAGAGAGGGAAGGAATTCCGCATTCAGAAAACATGGTGTAGTGGTTTGAACCTTGGACTGTGGCTCTGAACTTACTGGATGACTTTAGGAAAGTCACACTCCACTTCAGATGAAGACAAAGATAAATCCTTTTTGAATAAATCTTAATCAGAAAACTCTGTGTTAGGGTCGCCTCAAATCAGAAACAACTTGAAGGCACATAGTAACAGCAACCCTACCCTAACTTGACTTTCTCATCAGCCAAAAGTAGGCCCACACTTACCATTGAAATACTGGTAAATATTGCTTAAATATTGCTTAAAAATGTTCTTCGTTGTCTTTTTCTTTCATGTTTTTTGCACTACAAATAAGATATGTATACTGTGCATAGGAATTGGTTCATGATTTTTTTCAAACTGTAGTTCCCTAACAGTCTGAGGGACCATGAACCAGTTTCAGGACCTCTGTCTTAGATGTTTTACTGAGACTGTAAAGGAGCACCATGGGTTGGGTATTCTCCCTGTGAGGACTGACCTCTTTCTCTGACCATCTGTCCTATGGTCCTTGTTATGCCCTCCTATGATGATGATGATGATGATGACGACGACGACAGAGTTTTGGAGGACAATACTCCTTAAAAAACAGGAAGTGGATCATCGAAGGCTTTCATGGCCGGAATCACTGGGTTGTTGTAGGTTTTTTCGGGCTATATGGCCATGGTCTAGAGGCATTCTCTCCTGGATCGTTGATGTTGCAATCCCAGGTGACAGCAGAATTGAAGAGAAACAACTGGAAAAGTTGACACGATATGAGGATTTAAAGATCAAACTATAAAGATTCTGGCACAAACCAGTAAAGGTGGTCCCAGTGGTGATCAGCACATTGGCCTGCACTTAAACACAATGGGCGCTGACAAGATTACCATCTGCCAACTGCAAAAGGCCACCCTACTGGGATCTGCATTATTCGCCGATACATCACACAGTCCTAGACACTTGGAAAGTGTCCGACGTGTGATCCAATACAACAGTAAGCAGAGTGATCTTTTTTGCTGCGGACTCACCTTGTTGTGTTTCAAATAACAACAACAGCAACAAGGGACTCGGGGCAGCTTACATGGGGCCAAGCCCGATCAAAACAGTTAAAATATGACACATTAAAATACGTAACAACAAGGTAAAACAACACATTATAACAGTATAAAATAGGCATCAAAATCAACAACCAATAACAAAATTCAGTTTAACGTAACAAGTGTGTGGATTGGATACTATGCACCTATTGATGCAGCCTTAAATCACTTTTTAGGGTGCTGCATCACACTTTTGACATGTGTTCAGTTTGTGCTATACTAAGACTCCTATGTCCCTTACATAAAATACATGTACTGTTTTCAAGCCAGGTGTCACCCATCCTCTATCTGTGCCTTTTTTTGCCTTAAGTGTGGTACTGTACATTTTTCCTATTCATTTTATTAATGTTGGCAAAGCTTTCTAGTATGCTAAGGTCATTTTAGATTCTGATATTGTCCTCGGGTATTAGCTGTCCCTCCAATTTGGTGTCATAAACATTTGATAAGCATGTCCCGTATTCCATCATCCAAGTCATTGATAAAGGTGTTGAATACCACTGGGTCCAGGACAACCCTGTGGCACTCCACTTGTTGCTTCTCATCTCACTAGTTAGTTCTTTCTGGGATACTGGACAATTTCACATTAGTGTTCTAAAACGCAGGTCTCTCTTTGCTATCGCCCTGTTTTGTCCTCCAGAATTCTGGGAATTGTCGTTTAGGGAGGGGACTTTGGAATTCTCAAACAGGGTGTCCTCGGCTTCCCTAAGTTACATTTCCCAGAATTCTGCAGAAGTAAACCTGCCAATAGGGAAATGAGTGCCTCCACTTTATAATGTTACTGTGATAATTGTCCAAAGAGGAAAAATGCCAATTCCTTATCACTGTTCAGGGATATACTTCCCTAAGCATAAATATTCCACTTAAGTATGTATCAGAAAACATACCCTATTTCATTGTCAAATTTTGGAGTTTTCAGAAACAAGTTCATTTCCAGGAATACCTTTGGGCTCCAGTTCTTGGAAACATGTATGACAGCAGATAAACACTTCATTTTCAAGCATGTCCAGCTGTCCAGGAAAATAAAAAAGAATGTGTATGCTGCCTTATATTATTATTGTGTGTTTAAGGAATGTGCGTGTGCCCACATGTACAGATTCATAGTGGGATTGGAGTTTCTGCTGACTGGTTTATGTGTTTGCAACTTTGCATTTTGGAGCTGTAAACTCATCTCTTCTTTGTACTCAGTTTTGTGAGCAAGATATTTTTCTTTTATCCTCCCTACTAAGCCTTCTGGGAAATGGAACTCCTTTGAACCTATACATTTCTCTTTTTTTTGCCCTGCAAAAATTATCTCTTTCTTTCATCTCAACTTGCAACCCACAACACGTACACATCCACACACTTCTAACTTAAGATCCTCCCCCTCTTTTTCAGGATCAGTTTTTGCCAACCATGTACTTTCTCCTGGAGTTAACCTTAAATACTTTTCACTTAGCCCACTTGCATTGTTACTGAAGTCTTTCAAGTCATTTCTGACCCAACAATGGGGTTTTCTGAGATTGTGTGTGACTTGCCCAAGTGGGTTTCTGTGGCTGAGGGGAATAAAACCTTGCTCTCCAGTCATAGTTGAAACTCAAACTAACACCCACATATATCTATTTTATACATCACTAAACAGGGCCGTAGCCAGAAAAAAATTTCAGGGAAGGTTGAAAATTTCGGGAGGGGGGGGGTGTTGAAAATTTTGGGGGGTAGGGTCACGCTGAAGCAAAGAGCACAGCAAGGGGCAGAGCATCCTTCAATAGCCTTCAGCTCTGCCCCTGTCCGTAGCCCCGCGGCTGGGCTATTTATAGGAGTGGAGAGAAAAGGGCGGGGCTACTCTAATGGTCAGTTGGAGTGAGCTCATGAGTGTCCGTTGCTGTCTGTGCGAGCGCAGGAGTATACCAAATGTGTGAATTCACAGGCGACCACTCGGGAAGCTATGTTTAAAGGTAAGCAACCTATTTTTTTTAACCTGAAAAATTGGGGGGAGGGGTTGAACCCCCGCGGCTACAGGCCTGTCACTAAATGCTTTCTACTCTATACCCTTCCCACCAGCACTCAGATTATCTATGGCACCTACAAGGAGGCAGTTCCAATGGTAGGACCTTTTTTTTCTTTTGATGCTTTTGTATGTTTGTGTGTGTAAGAGAGAATTTTAATGGGGAGCATATTTTTTTATATCATCTTTGTTAAAGGTTTCATTTTATGACATACAGTGCAAATAAATTGAGAAAAGTAATAATATAAAAAAGCAGAAAGGGAAAGGAGAAGAAAAAGAAAAAGAAGAGAAAGAAGAAAGAAAAAACCAGCATATTTTGTCTGCTGTTGCATGGCATCCTCACTCCGTAAGAATGACTTTGGAACCAGAAGCTTAGGATGCGAATAATAGTTTTTATGAGCACATCTGTGACCACATTCTTGCCTGTCTTATACATATTCAGAAATTGCATGTAAATGTAACATAATCCAAGGGAAAATGAGGACTTGGCCACCTTGCTTGGTAGCTCCCGTGGCCACTGAGTGGTAATACTATACAGTCTTAGGGTAGACAATAATTTTATTTCTGTACACAAGGGATCCGTTTGGATCCAGCAGAACAACACGTTCATGTCCTTGTTAGAAGTGACATGCTGTCACCATCTCTGCTCCCTCACTTCTCTGGGCAGGATACTGCAGCCAGGTCGGTTAACCACACAGCCACTGATGGTTTTTCTGCTGCTTCCAGAGTGAGATGATAATAGGGACACACCAAAACAATGTGAAATTCTAACCCTGGAAACTTTAAATCCACAATAGATGATGCATGTTGGTTTTGAACACTACCAAAGGAAAGCGGGGGAGAGACATCTCCAGACGAGAATGTATGTCTCCATCGAAAATTAACTGTAGGATATGCTAATTAGAGCAGAATTTGCTCTGGGAAATCACTTTCACATTGTCACATTAAATACCATTCAATGGTTAGGCACATCAATCAAACTCATTGAATGTAGAGGAAAGAATATAATTCCTATGATGCTTCAAAACTTTGAACCCAATTATTCTCCATTTAGAGATGGGGAATTTGGACATGAGTGTGTGAAATAAACTGGCTGGGATTTAAGACCAGATATGTGATGTCCAAATCTCACAATCTCTTCCCTGGACTTTGTCACCGATGCCCATGGCAAGATTCATTTTGATTTCGCAAAGGAATTATTCTTCTACTACTTTTGTGTTTTCAGTAGCTTGGCTTTATTCCCACAAATGGCCGAGTCAGCAGAGCTTGGAAAGTGACTTTTTAAAAAGGGATTCATTCATTTTACTCTGCAGTGAATAAAAATGGTCCCATTATCATTACTTCCTTGGCTTCTTGTATTACTTCTTGGCCTGCTTGGCCTTTAAAAAAACACCTTTTATGTATTGAGTTTGAATTCTTTGGGATAATTGCATATAAATTCTAGAATTTATGTGCAATTGGCACTAAATATGAAAAATGCTTTTCATTATTTTTCAAAATGCCTAAACTAATTTATAAACTAATGTGAAAGGATCACTTACTACATCAAAGGTCTACCATGCTTGTTTCCTTCCTTTTGAAGCTGAATGTTAGCACATTAAAAATCATTAAAATGAACTAATTTATTCATTCATTTGGATGTATACTTTTCTTCCCAAAATGGACCTCAAAGACGATTTACAAGACTGAATATAAAAAACAATTAAATTACAGACCAAT